TCAATCCCCTTTTTATTTAATTTCAACCTATGGCCTCAAAAGCGTTTAATTTGTCCGTTCATTAACGAGAGGGCTTAAAACGTGCAGTCCCGGTGAAGATATTAAAATGATTTATTTTTCAACATAATTACCTTCCACATGTGTAGTCTTTAGACAACATCGTTGGAAGGATTTAAGGTAGTATCGAAAAAGCCTTTTCTCACGGCTGTACAAGAAGCATCAACAGTTGCCATGACGTCATCGGTCGAGTCAAATGAGTTCTTGTTATAGAGCTTTTTTCACGTTGGGGAACAAATGGAAGCCTAACAGATAGGAGAATAACCTGGGTGCTGAAGGAGTTGAAAGCCGCACTGTTGGATTGTTGTCATGACAATTACTGGTCTGTTCACTGGCGCATTGTCCTGATGGAAGAGCACACCCATGTTCCAACGACACCTTCATCCCGTTATGCCTATGAGGTACACCGTGATATGTTCCGTGCATTGTCTGGTCTTTGGAAAGATGGTGCCATGGTGACACCCTCGGTATCCCAGAACACGGAAGTGATTTCGTTACAAGCTGAGTGGACAGTCCTTGTCTTCATGGTGGTGACGTGGAATGCTTCCATGGTTTTGATTTGTTGTTTGAACTCAGGTTAGAGGTGATCAACCCAGATTTCGCCAACTGTAGCAACACGTGTGCCTTTCATGCTCGGTCTCAGAGAAGGATTGTGCTTTTCGGTGATAATTTAAGGTATTTATGAGAAATGCCCACTGAGGTAATACTATGACGTTCAGTCATCACAATGGATTCTCTGGGCAAATGCTGGTGTTGCTGACATCACATGTTGGCCTTCCAGGCCGGGGGTCATTTTCAGGGCTCTTCCTGACAAGCATCCTTCCGTATACAATGTTGGATTCCTGGTTAACTTGGGCGTTAGGCGCTATTTGTGTAAAACTGACCAATGTTTCGTCGGTTTTAGTTAACTATAGTTTTGTCACATTTCCAAAGGTGACAGACCCTGTTTGTGGTACTGCCTTGTAATTATTTGGTAAACTGACTCAGGTTTTTGTGTGATGTCTAGTGAGTGAGAATGTGTTACGCAAGCCTTTAGCAATATTCCAGCAACATCACGGCGGGGGACACCAGAAATGGGCTTCACACATTGCACCCATGTGGGGAATTGAACACGGGCCTTCGTCGTGATGAGCGAACGCTTTAACCACTAGGCTACCCCGCCGCCCCATGTGATGTCTAAAACAGAAGGATTGTTAATCTACAATTACTTTTACGATTGACCCATCAATCAATCCGCAGGCATGTTTGCATTTGAAAATGTGACCCCTTGAAGTCTACACGTGGCACGCTATACCGAGGGAATGCCATACAACACACATAACTATTCCATCTTCTGTTATACATTCAAGTCTGGACGTCATGAAATACGTTTTGCTGCGTACAAAGGCAACAGTCCGTAGCCGTGTCATTACTTATATATAAATCTGATTGTTGCAGTGTCTCACAATTCATTTCCTTTGTACCCAAGAGAACACGTGTACGTAGTGACCGCGGTAGGACACCTTTAAGCGTGAAACTTACGTGTGCGAGACACATAGTAATGTTTTGCTGTATGTTCTCACATCCGTGTCATATATTGGTAGAAATATCACCACGCAAGTCGTGTAGCGTTGCTATAGTTACAGAATGGGACATAAGTTTGTATTTAGTCGCCTTTCATACCAAGCATAAGTTGTTTGCGTGCCATAGTCCTAACCGGAGTAACCACGGGTGTTGTCTGAGGGTAAGAGTTATAGGGGAATCTCTGGTCAAATTATCCTTTGAATTTGAATTTGACTTCTGATCTTTTAAAGTTTACCTCACATGTTTTGATTTAGGATATATTTTGCTTATTGTCGAATGTCAGATAATTTGGGTTCACATAAAATGTAATGTGGTAAATGGCACCCTATGAGGAGTGCTGCCATGACTCTCTACCATCCATCCTCCGTTTAAGCAGACCAGTCATAAGAACTCATATTACACATAACGGAACCATTTAGCTTTGAACAAAACAGTTTATTGACTACACTTTCGCTGACAAACACAACATGCATGAATAATGATCCCCGACCGCCATGCGTCTTTTGTAACGAGGGCTTGTCGTACGTGCACATTCATGGATTAGTACACACCGTTTTAATTGTGCACTGGGAAAAGTCTCTATGAGGTGTGTAATTGGTGCCACGATTGTATAGCAATGCCATTCTTTAAGAAATCAAACAGTTTCAATCTAAGGGTTGCATAGCAAGAACTCGTCTGCACATGCATATACCCACAGATCCAGGCGTGGAACAGATTCTATAGTCATGCAGTGCTGCATACAAGTGCGTTTACTTGAAGAATTTATTGAGCACCGACGTATGCAGTCAAGCATCACTTCATAGAGAATGCCGCTCTGAATACAGATTGCAGGTTAATTTTCCGCATGAATCAGCCTCAAAAAGAACCTAATCCTCGAATGGCAAATTTTCAATTTGAAAGTTCGCCAATTGGTGGGGCCATCAACCGTTCCTTGGCCGTCCTGGAAGTCGTGTGAAGAGGTTCGTCTCTCTGGAGGGGGGCGCTACACTGAGCGGCGCAACGCGTCGGCTCGCTGCAGAAATCCAGTCAATAAGGAATAAGGCAGCAGTATTAGGAGCTCTTTGATTTCTCGGCGTCTCCTGCAAGTTACAGATGCTATAGTCTCTACGGTCCTCGACTCCCTTATTTTCTTTCTCAGTTAAGTCAGGACATGCATGCCTTAACAGCTAATTTCATTATTGGTTGACCAATGGATATTTCTGTGAATTTCCTAGCCAGGTTTCAAATAACATTGTGTAGCATTTGTTAAAATTTATACCCTCAGTGTAAACGAACAACTAGTCTCTGAAATGAACAGTTCATAATAAAAAATTAAAAAATACAATGAAAAGGAGCGCTGAGACTTTCTTCATTTTCAGGATCTGTGGAAATCTAGACTTACCAGATAATCTAGACTTGCATGGGCTTTCTTGGATATATTTGTTTCTGTATGACAGACTAACCCTATAGGTGTAACAAAGATGGATATAGCGAATAGGTGCAAAGCGTCCTGTATATGCAGCCGCCTATCTTTTTGAGGTTACCGTTTACGCGAAATGACTGTCTTCTGAAATCTCATCACGCCCAAAATTCGGTTTGAATTCACACCTAGAAACAATGTCTGAAGTAAAATAGTATCCCCCGTCGTGATATAGTGGAAACACTAGTCTTATCTGATATGATTATGCACTATTTCGATCTCTCCTTGATTGGATGTGACTCTATACGGTGTCATGTATGGCTATATACTCGGAGTGCAGTTGTGGGCATGCAAGTTGATAACTGAAAATCCATATCAAATTGTGAAAGATCGATAAATTAGACTGACAGTTGTTACGTGCGGACTTGTGTAAACACCATGTGGCAGGGCAATGGCAATAGGTACATTGGCAGTTGCAATCTTATCACGATCAACCATTTTAAAGTTTGCAGTCTAAAATATAGATTTAGCATAAACGGGATTATTTGCAAAAACTTCGGGAATTGTCCTGCGACAGTCAAATTTAGAGCAACTTTACAAGGCACTTAGAAGACTTTAAACTAGTTTCCAAAGGGAATAATTAATTATAGCATATAACTCCTATTGAACCTATCTTGTGTAGTTTACATCTTCAGAAAGGTTTACTCTACTCTCTTTTACAACACGAAAAGTAAGGTCGCAAGTGGACCTACTTCGGTGATGAATGTATAGTGATGATATTTCGACGTATTTTTTTTTAAATTCTCTTGTCATGTTCTGGGCCTTTCTGGACCCAACTACAAAGTCCACCCACTCAATACATTATGTCAATAATACCTATATCAGTGAATATATATATATATATAAAGGGGCGTGGTGTTATGTATGGTTCTTCGAAATACCCTTGATGGGTAAATGCTGGCACACAAAATATAATCATGTGGGCGCCCTCGACTGGGGCGTGCTTTATGAAGTCACGCCTCTCTCTCTCTCTCTCTCTCTCTCTCTATATATATATACGCACAAAATGTCCAAAATAGTACAGGTGTTCAGTCATAAATATCACATAGATAAATAAAAATAAAGGCATTCCATATATATATATATATATATATATATATATATATATATATATATATATATATATATATATATATATATATATATATATATTATATATATAAAATATATATATATACTTGAATATTCATTATAGTTTTGACAAAAAAGATGTACCAGGTACTCTAGTTTTGAGCAGCATACCTATATTTACGAAACCCGTTTAAGAATTTATATTTTCTCCCTTTGGTCCAGGAAAGACAAATTCTGACACGTCTTCCGTAAAATCAGTTCGACATCTCTGCACTTGTGGCTGAAAGTGATAGATATTTAATGGCGGCTGTGTTTCACTCGAATAAACATCTCTTTACCACTCCTCATTATTCATTCCATAAATTAAAAAGACTTCTTGCTTATTAAAACACGGCTGTTATAATTTCACTTCAGGAACATTCTGGTCACCTTCTTCTTGATTCAGCACGCCACAGTTTTCAATCGCATGCAATATTATATAACACGGTCAAAGTACTTGCTACTGTACACTTAACGGGTCGTCATCAATTGCTTATCGATATGTTCACACGCTATAATGCGTACCGGTGTTAATCTCATTAACTGTTTCTGCAGTTCGTGTTGATGCTATGGAGCTATAGTTTGTAGTGCTTTCCGATTCGTGCAACGACGTACATAAACCCTTGTGTATAAAGTGTGGACAGACCTTAATATTGAACTGTCATTGCCAGTAGCAGAAGTACATACGGTGGCAAATCGCCACTGATGTCTCAAGCTTTCACTTCTGCTCTATAAACAGGTGCTAGTGCTGCCATCTACCACGCTGTCACATGATCAATCGGGGAACAATGATTGGTCCAATGGCTATAGGACCCCCTGCATTGCCAAAATCATAACAAGCTTGTCGTTTTCAGCCATTATGGCGAACCCACGAAAGTTCAGCGAAAAGATAGCTTTACACAATCAGAAACAGGCTGAAGAGACGGCAGCTTTTGAGGCGATTATCAAGGAGGTTACCAGTGCCACACGGGTGAGTATCGCCGCAATATGTGGCCTAGTTTCAACAGCTATGGCGGTCGGCGGGGGTGCACCCTCGCAATTCGAGACCGATGTGGATTCGTATGTTTTTTATTCCGCTGTAAATCTCATCTAATACAGCATTCCTTTTCCTTTCCAGGGCCCAGGGCCTTCATACCCTAAACAACACTTGCCTATAACGCCAAATCTCGGAGTTTACCGTGGTGGCTCGCTACCGAATGTCAACCAAATAGGCGGCAGTCCAGGCATAGATTTGCAGGTAACGTTGGCCTAGATTCTGTGCTGCATGTGGGATACTGATAATACACGAGACTAGTGTAGTAACGAAGATGGCGCCGCTTTTCTTATTTAATTACATATACAAATGTTAATTCCAATTTGCAAATTAATGTTCCTATTACAACGCCTATAAATTTATCTGCGTTCTTACAGACCGCCTTGCAACATCTAGACGACATAAGACATGGCAAACCGAACCTGGTGGACCGAATACATCGAGTACGACCAACTGGGCCACATAGGCGCTTTCCCGTGGATAAACGAGTATCCTTGTCTACCGTTTACTGAAACGTCATTACTAGTGAATATAGGATATACTGTGTTCTTTTCTGCGTGTGGATTATGTGATTTCCAACGTGATTGCGACAGTCTTCCGCTGTGACAGACCTCGCAGGTCAGACAGGTATGGTTTATTGCGTTTACTGCACATTGGGCTGGCTGACAGCTGATATGACAGCTGACATTCTTAGTGCCTGAAAGTCACTGTGGTCCACATCATCCATCATGGGGAGATCAGGTGAATATCCACCCATCTTTCACCCCATTGTCTTTCATTATTGACAGGTGAAAAAAAAATCAGCTGCTACGCAACAAATTGCAACCATGATTGATTGACCAGGGATATATTGTGATGTAATGTTCAGTTACTGTATGTGGTAATGCTTCATCCTCACCTCCCACTATGATATCGTTGTTTACAGTTACACAGTTATGTTTATAATTCAAATTTCCTGAATTACTTATCATGGTTATTTGTTCTGGTTAATTGTTAATTAATGTTTTCACTGAGGGTTTTTTAGCATTAAGAAGTACATATTTTGTGTTGTTTCACTGAGGATGGATTAGGGCATTCTGATGATGTTAGACATTGTTATAAACTGTTACTGATAATCTGTTTTGCCCAGAATGTACACATCTATCATTTGGAAACATTGTTCCTGTTAATAGGTACATGTTTGCATGCTAATGGTATTTGTGGGATGATATGACATTTATTCCATGTTATTGAAAATACAGTAACATTCATTTCTTTACTAGGCTAGGTCTGTTATTTAATATGTATCTAAGATTTAGTTTGTGTATACTATATATGTTGAGACACTTACATATTTAATGATTGAATGTCTAGTTGAACTAATATTTGACAGTAAGCAAGTGTTGCAGCAGTGTTGCTGCACTTCTTTGCAGTAGCAGATCATTAAAGGAAAGGGGTCATCTCATCAATATCAATATGATGGATCTGGTATAATGTATCAAGCATAATATTCTAAAAGTGAACTCTGAAGTAACCATAAGAGGGTGACCATATTGGGGTTTTTTGTGGGTGGATCTTCCTTGAAATTAAGCAAGCTCATGGTATACTGTTCTTTTAAATTTATCAACATATGTTGCACATTGTGGGTAAACTTGTTCTCTTTCTTACTCCCATTTTTTAGATAAACACATATTTGCACAATAAGGATCCAATAGCTAGTGTCCCAGTCACTGGTATTTTAAAAAATCATATTCTTGAAGTGTGAATAATGTTGATCCTACCTTTTTACAGAGGTACAGATAAGCGACGTATCTGCGTAAATTACGCAAATATTTGTGAAAAATCAATTCTTATTAAGTATACAAGTACACTTGAATTTCTGTGAATACTCATAAATTTGATCTTACATGCGTACACACAAAAATGTCGAATCATAGCTTGCATACTGGTGCATAGATAAAATAACTGAGGTATATTCAGAGGTTCTATTTCAACACATGAACTTGGCAACTTGCAATCTTTCTTATAGTTTCTCATAGTACAGATCCAATATAAATAACATTTAAACTTTATTATATTTTTACAATTAATGGAAAATGGCAAAATACCCAATTGAGTTTGAGAGAGGTGGGTACAATTTATTTTGTTTCTCAAAGGAAGATTAAGATACCCAATTGAGATGAATGCAAGCAAGTACATAAAGCAATGACCCAAAAAGTTATCTGTAGCCCTGCTTTTGTATGTTGTTGTATAAAATATCCCTTCCTGGTCCAGCATCCATTGTAAACACATTCATTTACTGCCCATGGTAGTGATCGATTAATGAGGTCAGATTGGCTGAAAAATGGGGTCAGTTGGGTAAGTAGGTCAGGCTTGGCTAAGGTAGATGTCGCTGTAGCGTGCATGGTTTTGTGTGTCAGTGGGCTTGATCTTGTTTGAATTCCACAGTACAATGTGTTAGTTTCTTCCATTCAGTGTGATTGGGAGTGACTTCCCTTGTAGGTTGTGGTGTGATCATACAGAGGCTTCAAAGGATTCACCTGTTTGGAACACTGTTGTTATTTCAGGTTATTCTGGGTGGTTACCTCATCAGTGGTTACATTAATCTGAGTAACTGTGTAAAGAAAGACAATGTTTTAACATGTTGTCATGGTCAGTTTCAAATGCACAATGATGGCAATTTGGGTCGTAACAGCCAATTCCCAACATGGGTACAATATGGGAACCCTGTTTCTGGTGAACCCGTCATGGTATTGCTGGAATTTTGCTAAGCTCAGTGTAAAACCATACTTATTAGTTCCTTACGGCCAGTGCTGTTAACTGGGTGAATCAGACTGAGCTATGGTAGTGTCGTGTATGTGTAGTAGTAAGTTCTTTACCTCTATGATTGAAATTCTATATGTATCGGTATGTTAATTGCAATGTACTCTAAGCCCTTAAGTGCCCTTGGAAATGTAAGCCCTTTGACAATTTATTTGTACCCAGTGTACATTGTCACAGGAAGTAACATTGTTTGATGTTCTCTTGCCCATGTACAGGAGCACATTTACATGTGTTGCATTTGTCGTGTTGCTAATTAGAATGGTTGGTAGGCTCGTGGTTGTGGCATTGGCGTACCTTGTCAGAGACCCCTGCTTGTTCCCCAACATAATCAAATATTGTAAGAGGGAAATATTTTTTGTTTGGTGTTTAATGCTGCACTCAGCTATATGACGGCGGTCAGTAAATAATCAAGTCTGGCCCAAACAATCCAGTTATAAACAACATGAGATTTGATCTATACAACTGGGACAGGATGACATGTCAACCAAGTCAGTGAACCTGACTATCCAATCCTGTTAGTTGCCTCTTAGTACAAACATAGGTTTCTGAAGGCCAATTCAAACCCAATAAGAGGATTGGTTGGTCAGATTTGCTGATGCAGTTGATGCATGTTATATTTCCCAATTGCACCAATCAGCACATCACGATGTCAATCACTTGATTGTACAAACATTATTCTGTACAGTCTAGTGGCTATCATATGCCCAAAATGCAGCATTAAACAACAAGGAAAATAAACAAATGTGTAAGGCCCTTTTATGGTTTCCATGCTCTGTCATCACAGCAATATTGCAGAGTAAAACTGTTCCAACTGAGGCCCAATCCCTTTTTAGGTGCACGGCATCAAAGCTGTGATCATCCTGCCAAATGTTGGCTGCAACTGTTGTGGCATCTTTGTTACTGTTCCTGTTTGTGGGAATGGATTTGATTTAGGGGTGAAATGTACTCTCTTACCACGGTACGGTACATATTGCGGTACAAGGCCTTCGGTTTGGTCCGTTTTAGTTTGGTATATGAGATGTGATCATAATGCAGAAAATTGACAAGACTCAAACCATACATTGTTTAAGAACGTGAAAATAACCATAATCTTTGTTATTCACTGTCATTTTATGACTTGATAGAAATGACAGTACGAAAACCGAAAATACCAAATTTTGGATTGCATTACTGTATACCGCCTGAAGGCAAAATACTGCGGTTCTACTAATACTGTGGTATACCGTTTCACCTTTAATCTGATTCAGGCAGTGTTAGCCCCACCACCAAATCCAACATCCTCACAGTTTCCTCATGTCATATTATTATTACCATGTTCATTGGTTATATTTTGAGGCAGTCTGCAATATCAGCCTTAGGTCGGAAGCCAGAGGCTTGTAAACTCACATGGTAATATTCAAAATGTTACCATAGATTCCGATTTGAAAGGTTTTGTCAGTGTCCATGTAGACTTTTTTTTTTTTTTGGGGGTGGGGAAGAGATACTGTTTAGTTTGGATTTTTAGTTTAGTTTTACTCCACTTTTAGCAATATCACCAGAAATGGGCTTCACATATTGTACCCATGTGGGGAATCGACACCCTGGATCCACATATGGTGTATGATTATTAAACAGTACAATACCACTGTGCATTGCTCCCAATGTGGAATTTACCATTTCTTTAAATATCTTCATTTACTGATAATTCCAGCACCATTTATATACATGATGTTATAAACTCAAAGTCATTGAATAAAGCACAAATTATCATGTTAGTATACACAATATGAAAATCTGGAGCCCAGTATACAGTAAGGCCCTGTAGCACATGCTATAATGGCTCCTTCAGTGCACCTGGTTGGCTAATAAGAAACAGATTAGTTCCATTAAGATGAACAGATAAGGTTGGAATTAGGTCAGAGGTCATGGCTAAGTGACCTGATTATTGTGGCTCTGAGTCCTTGAGAGGGCATAGCAGATCTGCACAGATGGTGGGACAGACCAAGCTCCTTACACTTGGAGCTGTAGAGTATTGACAAATGGAATTGATTTCTCGTTAATTTATTGCATGTTGGGTTGATTTATTCCCATTCTTGTCCGCCTCAATGATACCTAAAGAAAACAGCCCCAGTAGAATATATTTAATATTTGTCTATGACAACAATAACATTGCTTTAAGTACAGATAGCTGTTGAGTTGGTTGGTTGAATCAGGTATTGTTCAGTAATACACTTAATGGGACACACATTTTTTAATCATATCATGCTGTGACATATACAGTCGAGCACCGTTGTCTCGATATTCATGGGACCAAGAAAAATATCGAGTTATCCAAACTTTGAGACATCCGACCAGGGCATATCATCACATATCACTATGAAAGAAAACAAAACAAAAAATATATTTCATGTATCTTTGTATATTTCCACAAATCTTGTGAACGCATCAAGGGCCAGTCACGTGATCACACAAAACCCTCATTGGATTCTCAGTATGTTTTGATTCGAAACTATAATCCGTTATCAGTAGTGTTTAATCGTAACAGTGAGTACTTCGTAATTAATTCCTTCTAAATGAATCCTAATTAAATAACAAACAAGTGACACCTTCAACTCAATTAGATGAATATCGAAGTTGCTTTGCAAATATCGAGTTTAAAGGGTAATTTTGCTTGTTGGGACCATGAAATTTTATCGAGATAGCCGAAATATCGAGAGATCCGTATCGAGTTAAAAGAGCTTGAAGAATCATAAATTATGATGGATTTTGCCGGGACCAAGATGTTGTTATCGAAACAACCGAGATATCGAGTTATCAGAGTTCGACACAACGGTGCCTGGCTGTATTTGATACTTGGTAAGGATTTTAAAAAGGTATTGTTTCAGATGGGTTTTTTTGTCCTGAAATAAGAAATTTTGATGAAGGGGTTGTAGTCAGCATGTGTACTACAGAAATGTACCTCAGGTACGTTTCTTAAATCCGAAAAGGTTGTGAGTGACCAAAGCACATCTGTGTGGTCAAGGTATTTGCTTTTAGAATCCATTTCATGTGGAAATGACAAAATTTAAATGAGAACTACATGTTCTCAGGTTGTTCTTTCAATCATATACTCATGGAAACAAATAAGGGAACACCTGAAAGTACAAGTGTTCCATAATTCATTTCCAGGTTTCTTCACAAGCTTTGTATTGCATTGTTCGTGAAATTCAGGAAAAGAAAAGGAACACTTGTTCTTTCAGGTGTTCCCTTATTCCTGTCCATGGGTATATTTGGTTTATGTGCTATGAGGTCCTTGGGAAGTTCTTGATATACTTATATAGATACTGAAAGTCAAATTCATTCGAGGGATTCTGCTGAACCAAGACTGCATGTTAATTTCAAATGATGTTACTTGGATTCATGGCACTTTTTATTTTTTGAAGTTTATGTATTGGATATCTGTATATTCATTATGTCATTAATGATTATTCAGGAAAGTTATGTGGCTTTCAAAAGTTTAGCATCTAGAGGCTAAGTGTCTCCTGCTTTGTTTTTATTTTTGTGGTATATTGCTGCTTTCAGCAAGATTTTAGCTGTATAGTGGTCTCTGAATAGCGAGTGTGGACCAGACAATGCAGAAATTGTTTGTTTTTTTGTTTCTTATTTAACACCACACTCAGTAATATTTCTGCTATATGATGGTAGTCTGTAAATAATTGAGACTGGACTAGAAATCAAGTGATCAACAGAATGAGCATCAATCTACACAATTAGGAAACGATCACATGTGTCAACCAAGTCAGCAAGCCTAACCACTTGATCCCACAAGTTGCCGATGCAACAAGCATGGGTTGCTGAAGACCTCATACTCATGATTTCAAATTCTGCATCACCAGGGGTGGAAATAACCCATTGCCCGACGCCCGAGTCCAGTGTTTTGTTTCTGTCGGGCAAGCAAATTTGTATATCACACTGTACCGATGTCCAGTTGACTTTCCAATATTAATTATGTTGTTTATTTAAAAAATCAACAAGAAAACGTCCAGTATAGTGGAAAAATTATCAGGGCAAGTGATTTTACATGTGCCACTGTACCGGAGTACACTAGCAATTTGAAAGTTATTTCCACCCCTGATCACCGGTTAAGATTCGGGTTAGAATTGATCTTCAGGATATAGCTAGAATATTGCTGAGTGTGGTGTTAAACATGTTAAACAACAAACCCCCCTCAATTTTTTTTTGTTTGAAATTAAGGTAATGAGAAACTTAGAACTTCCTGGTTTCTAACTAAACAACATTGGGTATGTGTTTTCACAAACAAGAACTGATGTCATATTTAAGTAACAAGACAAATACAATGTCCATGTTTTGTCGAAGTAGTGTTTCTAAACACAGCTATGCAATGAGACAAGGAAGACAGTTAGATAAATCATCATGGTAGCTGGAGACAGGGTGTATAAGTCTGGTTGGAGGCCATAGTGGCTAAACTGAAAGAAATGCTTCTTTGTGTTTAATACGCATGTCATGAATTTGGGGACCTTCTTCAACTGGTGAGGGGCGGTGGGGTAGCCTAGTGGTTAAAGCGTTCGCTCTTCAAGCGCTCGTCACAACGAAGACCCGGGTTCGATTCCCTACATGGGTACAATATGTGAAGCCCATTTCTGGTGTCCCCCACCGTGATATTGATGGAATATTGCTAAAAGCGGCGTAAAACTAAACTCACTCACTCTTCAACTGGTGAGGGAGGGACTGCTTTAGTTTCGGCATATACTGGCAACACCTTTATTATCCTTGATAGCAGTAGGAGCTACACTGCACAGCTTTAATGGGTGATGATGCAATACTAAACACATACAAGTAATAACTAACGGTAACCATGACAACTGGTAATTGATGTAACCATGACTACTAGGAAGAACTGTGAAACTGGAGTGGTCAAGCAAACTGTATCAGCCATAATTACAGATGTGTTCTTTCACAGTTTCAGTTCAAATAATTGTCATAGGTTTGCAGGGTACCGTTTGCAGTACATATCTGGTCAGATGATCTTTGAAATAATGCCTCTCTTCTGAGGTTTTAGTTGCAATGTATATATAATGTTTATGTGTATATATAAATATATATTTGAAGTTTAAATAATTAGTCTAAATGTAATTTTAATGCAGAAATTGATGAAGCAGTATTCTAGTGAATATTGTTTACTTCAAGAGTGAGAACCATTACTGCACATATGTCCTGTTAAATACATACATCAAATTAGCCCATTTTCAAAATGTCATATATTTTATTGCTTGACAGTGTAATTATGTCATTTATATCATTTATCGATGTGACGATTGGTTGCAAGTTTCCTTCACTGGAGACTTGTCATCTGATGCCCATGCTTAATGACCAAATTCATATATTTATCATGTTTATATTGAAAAATACTGGACAGAAAACGTTACTGAGTTATGAAGTAGTTCCAGCAAAGTGATATCTTCACTTCAATGCACATATTACTTTTCTAAAACCAAGAAATCTGAGTATTACACACTTAAGTATGTAATAAAGAAATTTTTAAATAGTGACTAATAAATACAGCCATTAAGAGCTGACCCCAACAGCTGACCCGTCACATGGACAAGCCAGGTTCGATTCCCCAAATGGGTACAATGTGTGAAGCCCATTTCTGGTGTCCCCTGCTGTGATGTTGCTGGAATATTGACAAAAGCGGCAAAAAAACACAATCACCAGCTGACGTGGGTGGTTTACTTCACAGTCTGTTGACCAAATGTTTGAAGTTAGACCTACTATCACTTTCATTTTATCACATACTTGAAATGAATGACTGATGATCCCACGACTGCTTGTGTCATTTTTCGGTATCCTGCTACATTAAGGAGGCATGTTGGCCCCTGTGGTCGAGTGGATAGGGTGTCTGTCTTGACAGTGGAGGGTCAGTGATTTGATCCATGGCCAGGTCAAACTAGGTGTTTCCTTGTCTGTCGCCTGCCATTAAGGGGATAGAACATGGGCTTGGAGTCAGTATACTGGTCTGAGTGGGTTATCCATGTTAAACTGGAGTATAGTTTCTGTGGACTAGCCCTATTAAACCACCATTAGTCCAGATTAACACAAACAGCCCCACAAACACATATACCCATAGAAAAGAATAAGGGAACACATGAAAGTACAAGTGTTCGTTTATTCTTTTCCGGGTTTCTTCACAAGGTGTGTATTGCACTGTGGGTGAAATTCTGGAAATAAATAAAGGAACACTTGTACTTTCATGTGTTCCCTTATTCGTTTCCATGAGTATATGTACAAGCATGTTACTAGATACAAACACGTGTTGAGTGTATTTTGTGTAACAGGTGTAGGTTTTAATTCTGTCATTTCTCCAATATTTTGCTATTGTGAACATTCCTTAACGAGTTTCCAGGCTGACTGCTCTCCATATGGATCTACATACCTGTCTCCTCCTCCGGACACCAGCTGGCGAAGGTAAGTCTTGTTGCAGACTTGTGATGACAACCATATTAGAGGATGGATTCAGGAATTTGGAAGTCATTAGTTAAATGGTTTGTTTAGTTCACCAGGATGGATGTCAGAATGAACTTGTCAGATGATGGCCTGCCTGCTATTCATGCCTTTAATTCTTGTAAAATCATTTGAATAGGTAGAGCTTGAAACTTCAGGAAGATCATAATCTTTAGACTTCATTGCAGTAATATCAGATTAACAGTTTTGTATATGAAAAAAAAAAGGAAAATCATATTTCGAAGTGGGATTCTCATTTTTTTTCAGAAAAGCAGTATCCATTTTAGAGACATACAATTGGAAAATTAGCACTTAGATTGAAGACTCTTCTTTTCAGAATCCTAAAGATCCAGAAATATGAAACTTGATGAAGACATTTGGCCAGTAATATTACATTTAGTTGTTCATGCTATGGAATGAAATTCATTTTTTTCAATTTTTAAATTACTAGTTTAATCAAATGATGAAATACTCCTTCAAGGAAACTACTGCATAAGGGGATCTGAAACATTGTGACTGGTAGCAGTGATTATCAGCCTAGTCATTGGAAGTAAACTTTATGTTAAACTCGATGTTAAGTTAAGAATCCTGTCCAATGTTACCAAACCTGGAGAATGTATATTCACTTCAATGTAGTTGTAACAGGTGGGCAAAAGAGCCCTGTCACTAATAAGAAGTGGTGAATTCCTTTTTTAGATGTATGATTAAATATATTTTATGAGAGAATTTGTCCTTTCTGGATCCTCTCATGTAATTTGCAATGGTTATTTTTCCAAACCATTTTGGGTTTTTCATGTCACAATTGTGCATCTGATATTTTAATTAGTTTTTGAACAACTGATAGGTTTGGTTGCACAGTGTTGGGGCACTGATGCCATGAGCTGACTTTGTGTCATGTTTGATATGAGATGTATATGTTGTTTATACAATACCACATTTGGCTTATCAGTCAACAAAATGGCATGAAGTGTTTGAAAGGTCAAGCACTATTTGTCAATCTGTTTTGACGTATATCTTCTTATCTATGTTGTCACTAATATGATTACATATTTGTTACTGAAATGGAAAGGCTGATGATTTTCTGGAAATGAAATATTACTGTAATGCCGGAGAACCAGATTTTGGGGTTGGGTTAGCCAGCTGTGAATCTAAGGCTGCAATAATTTTGAAGGAACATAAAAAATATTCACTCACTTTAATTCTTTTGCTTTTGAATATGGTTGAACGCTGGATGTAGTTTGCAAGCATGAATGATGCATATTTAGATATTACTGATCCCTGATGGTATTTAGCAAAAAATTAACAGAAGATAGATATGTCACGCTTGAAAATGCAGTCATGACAAATTAATAATAAATCATTTCTCAACAGATGTATTCTTGTCACCTTGGTTAATATTTTATTTCAGGAGGCCATCTTGCATGAGACATATTTGGTAACATATCTACTGCTCAGAAACAGCCTTTGATGTATTTGCTTATTTTGAACAATGACTATATTATATATCTATGTGATGAATTGATGATAAGAAATTATAGGATGTAATTATCTCCCTTGGTGAAACACAGTTTGAATTCCCTTCCCAGCATGCCCTATTATTACCCCTCCTGCATCTTTCCTGGCCACTACACTGCATCTAATGCTGTAAAATGGCCAGATTTGTTATTATGAATATACAAATGTTGTGTTTATTAACTTATTGTATATTCAGTGATTGCTGTTTCAAGACATACTACGCTCTGGTCATTTGAAATATACTGGCTTATGAATGATTGCTGTATTGCCTGATTGTGTTACTTTATATGTTAATGAATGTAGTTCAGTTTCAACTTGATACAGAATTAATACTCATTAGATTTTAGTTGGTATGACCTACATACATCATTGCAACCCTTGCAGGAACAGAAGTATATTCTTGCAGCAGTAGCATGAGCTAAAACTGGTAATGTGTGCAATATACAAGCATCTCACTTAATATATTCCTGGATCCAGTACCCACGGACAATTGTAGAAGAACTGCTGTGAGTGGGCCTGTGACCATTAGTTCTAGGGAGACACTACTTGCTGTGTGGGCATAGTATACCACTGTAAGATCCTTCCACAAGACTTGATATATCAGAGCTAGAGTAAGATCCTTCCACAAGACTTGATATACTAGAGCTAGAGTAAGATCCTTAAACAAGACATGATATACCAGAGCTAGAGTAAGATCCTTAAACAAGACTTGATATACCAGAGCTAGAGTAAGATCCTTCCACAAGACTTGATATACCAGAGCTAGAGTAAGATCCTTCCACAAGACTTGATATACCAGAGCTAGAGTAAGATCCTTCCACAAGACTTGATATACCAGAGCTAGAGTAAGATCCTTCCACAAGACTTGATATACCAGAGCTAGAGTAAGATCCTTCCACAAGACTTGATATACCAGAGCTAGAGTAAGATCCTTCCACAAGACTTGATATACCAGAGCTAGAGTAGATCCTTCCACAAGAGATCCCAGAGCCACAAGACTTGATATACCAGAGCTAGAGTAAGATCCTTCCACAAGACTTGATATACCAGAGCTAGAGTAAGATCCTTCCACAAGACTTGATATACCAGAGCTAGAGTAAGATCCTTCCCACAAGACTTGATATACCAGAGCTAGAGTAAGATCCTTCCACAAGACTTGATATACCAGAGCTAGAGTAAGATCCTTCCACAAGACTTGATATACCAGAGCTAGAGTAAGATCCTTCCACAAGACTTGATATACCAGAGCTAGAGTAAGATCCTTCCACAAGACTTGATATACCAGAGCTAGAGTAAGATCCTTCCACAAGACTTGATATACCAGAGCTAGAGTAAGATCCTTCCACAAGACTTGATATACCAGAGCTAGAGTAAGATCCTTCCACAGACTTGATATACCCAGAGCTAGAGTAAGATCCTTCCACAAGACTTGATATACCAGAGCTAGAGTAAGATCCTTCCACAAGACTTGATATACCAGAGCTAGAGTAAGATCCTTCCACAAGACTTCAGAGCTAGAGTAAGAACAAGACTTGATATACCAGAGCTAGAGTAAGATCCTTCCACAAGACTTGATATACCAGAGCTAGAGCTAGACTTGATATACCAGAAGATCCTTCCACAAGACTTGATATACCAGAGCTAGAGTAAGATCCTTCCACAAGACTTGATATACCAGAGCTAGAGTAAGATCCTTCCACAAGACTTGATATACCAGAGCTAGAGTAAGATCCTTCCACAAGACTTGATATACCAGAGCTAGAGTAAGATCCTTCCACAAGACTTGATATACTTCCACAAGAGCTAGAGTAAGATCCTTAAACAGGACTTGATATACCAGAGCTAGAGTAAGATCCTTCCACAAGACTTGATATACCAGAGCTAGAGTAAGATCCTTCCACAAGACTTGATATACCAGAGCTAGAGTAAGATCCTTAAACAGGACTTGATATACCAGAGCTAGAGTAAGATCCTTCCACAAGACTTGATATACCAGAGCTAGAGTAAGATCCTTAAACAAGACTTGATATACCAGAGCTAGAGTAAGATCCTTCCACAAGACTTGATATACCAGAGCTAGTAAGTAAGATCCATTAAGACAGTAAGACTTGATATATATCAGAGCTAGAGTAAGATCCTTAAACAAGACTTGATATACCAGAGCTAGAGTAAGATCCTTCCACAAGACTTGATATACCAGAGCTAGAGTAAGATCCTTAAACAGGACATGATATACCAGAGCTAGAGTAAGATCCTTCCACAAGACTTGATATACCAGAGCTAGAGTAAGATCCTTCCTTACCAGAGCACAAGACTTGATATACCAGAGCTAGAGTAAGATCCTTCCACAAGACTTGATATACCAGAGCTAGAGTAAGATCCTTCCACAAGACTTGATATACCAGAGCTAGAGTAAGATCCTTCCACAAGACTTGATATACCAGAGCTAGAGTAAGATCCTTAAACAAGACTTGATACACCAGAGCTAGAGTAAGATCCTTCCACAAGACTTGATACACCAGAGCTAGAGTAAGATCCTTAAACAGGACTTGATATACCAGAGCTAGAGTAAGATCCTTAAACAGGACTTGATACACCAGAGCTAGAGTAAGATCCTTAAACAAGACTTGATACACCAGAGCTAGAGTAAGATCCTTAAACAAGACTTGATATACCAGAGCTAGAGTAAGATCCTTCCACAAGACTTGATATACCAGAGCTAGAGTAAGATCCTTCCACAAGACTTGATATACCAGAGCTAGAGTAAGATCCTTCCACAAGACTTGATATACCAGAGCTAGAGTAAGATCCTTCCACAAGACTTGATATACCAGAGCTAGAGTAAGATCCTTAAACAGGACATGATAATACCAGAGCTAGAGTAAGATCCTTCCACAAGACTTGATATACCAGAGCTAGAGTAAGATCCTTCCACAAGACTTGATACACCAGAGCTAGAGTAAGATCCTTCCACAAGACTTGATATACCAGAGCTAGAGTAAGATCCTTCCACAAGACTTAATATGCAAGAGCTAGAGTAAGATCCTTAAACAAGACTTGATATACCAGAGCTAGAGTAAGATCCTTCCACAAGACTTGATATGCAAGAGCTAGAGTAAGATCCTTCCACAAGACTTAATATGCAAGAGCTAGAGTAAGATCCTACCACAAGACTTGATATACCAGAGCTAGAGTAAGATCCTACCACAAGACTTGATATACCAGAGCTAGAGTAAGATCCTTCCACAAGACTTGATATACCAGAGCTAGAGTAAGATCCTTAAACAAGACATGGTATGCCCAGAGCTAGAGTAAGATCCTTCCACAAGACATGGTATAACATAGCAATATTCCAGCTATATGGCAGTAGTCTGTAAATAATCGAGTATGGACATACAATCCAGTGATCAACAGCATGAGCATCGATCTACGCAATTGGGATATGATGA